GTTTATCAACACTGTTGTCCATTGGTGGTTATCAAATGTAATGAATAGTTTTTTTCATCATAGGTCAGGCAGAAAGTTCTTCATGGTCAATTTGGAGGCTGTAGTTTATGGTGTTCCTGAATTGTATTATACTGAGGTGTTTTAATATTCTACTCTCACTATAGACAAAATCAGACTCTTAGAGAGGGTCTCTTTGTGTGAAGAGGACATGGTGGCATGTAGCTCTGTAATTTGTCAGCGTTTATTGTGTTTTGACAGTTCTTGTGTGCCATTTAAAAGTTTGGGCAAATGTGGTGCTAGTGATCAAGGGTCAACGGAATCATTAGTGTTCCTCCTCTGGGGATTGTTAATATTTTTCTCTGTACCAAAGCTGGATAGATAGATGGTCGGAAAAGTGTTCATCCAGCTTCTTTAGGAGAAATATTTCAAAACAAGCCAACTGTGACTGGTACCATCAGCCAGTGACTTTGTACATCGCATTCACCATTCACACACATTCATACTCTGGTAGAAAAACCACCAGGGCAATTCGGGGTTCAGTATCTTGCCCAAGGACACTTCGACTTTTTCTTCCACAAGAGAAAGTGCCCTTATTTCCTGGGGTGCTTTAAAAAAAATAAATGAATATACAGTATACTTATTCCTGTTTGCGCACAGATTCCCTGTCAAACAAATATATTTATTGAATAAAAAATCTAAATAGGCTATCAGGTCCCAGCAGTGTTTTTTGTGGCTTGTGTGGAGGTGAGCGGTAATGAACAAAGTACTAAACTACCAGTGCCTCGAGTTTGCTGCTAATTAGCCAAAAGGCAGATATAGGCCTATGTCTTGCTAACGCATGACTCATGAGCTGAGCAAATGGAATAAGGTAGCTGAAGTTCAGCCAAGGTAATAGGCTATTCCATGGCCATACAGGCTAATGTCCTGCACTTAATTTAGGCACTACAGGTGAACACAGTAGGGCCTAGCATTTGAGTCCAATAACGTCATCACAATCGGCACATCGTTATGGTCATTAGGCGTTAACTAATTTAAATGCGCTAATTTGCATACATTTGCCAAGTCACTGCAGGTGAATTGAATAAAGAAAATAACTAAAGCATATCACCACAGAGCTTCCCCAGTTAATGACTTGCATCAAGAGTATTTTCCCCTGTTCTGTTTAAATATGCAGATTAGCTTGTTCTGATTAATTTAGAAGAAATTTACAGATGCAAACAGAAGGAGGGCAGTAGGCTTAAAATAAACACTATCTAAAGGTGTATTCTTAAAGTAAAAGAAGACATGGAAGCAAAACCAATACCAAAATCTCAAAATTGACCACTCCATGAAGAAAGTGCCTTAAACAGTAACTTCATAGTTTGGTTTTTAGGCTCCTCATCTAATAACTATCCATTCTATTAGTTGTATGCTGATAGATCCTAACAGACAGCCCTCCCTCAAATATGAAACTAAGTCCATGTCACCATCAGTAATTGTGTGTGTGTGTGTGTCTGGTAAGTGTAATTAAAATAGCAGCAATAATGATTTATTTGATCCATACATTAATGTATTCAGGTAATTCAGTATTCTGTTGCTTGGCTGTGTGAAGTTGAAGGTTATCCTTTTCTGTTTTGCCTTTTTGGCATTTGTTGATTTTTGAAGTGTTATGTATTCCAATAACACCAAAAGAATTAAAATGATGTATCGCTTTGTGAAAATAAACAAATTATTAATGAAACTGTCATTTATTCTAAATATATACTTGAAACTAGTAACTTGGAAAACATGCGCATTGTGGCATAGTTGCCTTTGCTGTCGCCTGCTCCTGTGATAAACCTAGTGAATAATAAAAAAGGCCGTGGTCTCTGTGTGAACTGATTATTTTGTAGAAAAGTAAACATGTTGAATATTACAAAAAAAATGTGTGAGGGAATTAAAATAATAAAATAAATAATTTGGAAGGAAGTCAGAGTTGTGTTAGTTAAAAAAATGCCCTTTTATTTCACTTGAGCCCCTGCCCACCAAAATGTCTGTGCACGTCCCTGCACTCAACATGCAGCCTGGAGGAGCCGGGGATTGAACCACCAATCGTTCGATAAACGGACAACCAGCTCTCCCTCCTGAACCAAAGCCCCGCCACATATACTGTATACTAAGACTATACTTTCATATGTTAAAATCCAAACATAAGTAGTCTGATTCTAACATGGGAAACTGGATGTTTGTTTACAGTGAGATTTGAGCTATATTGGGGGGTCAGTCCCAGTTAGAGCAGCTCAGTGTCCTGGGATTGGAACAGAACATAAACAAACTGGCCCTGGATCAGCTTATTGGACAACTGTCCTGGGACATTCTAAGGTCCCAAAGGACAGATAGATATGAGTGGACAGAGAAGCAGAGGTTTTGACAGAGAAATGACTGGGTCAGCTCACAGCGTGACACACAAGAGATGCTTTTTTCTGTTTCTGCTTCTCAGCTGGCTGGATGGTATTTCTCAGTAATTACACAGCAGGCGTTAAATGGGCCTATTTCAGGCTCAAAGAAGCTTATAACCATGATCTTTCCATAAACTTCACCATAGTATAGTTACCATACACAGCATTGTCATGTTGAAATAAGAAAAGGCCTTCCCCAAATTTGGAAGCACAGTCTGAAATGCCACTGTAAAGCAAGTTTTATATGTGTGGAACCAGTCCGCCAAGCTGACTCCAAAAGTAGTAGAACTAGAAGTAGTCCGCGTCCATAGTGGCCACAGCTGTCTGTGTATGCGTCCGCATTGAAGTGTATTCGAGGTTTTATGCTGTAGGACTGCCCCTAAATGCCGCTATAAGAAAAGAGAGATCTATGAAACTGTTGATGGAACACCTCAAACCGCAAACAATGTCAATTATGACTCTTTATATCATGAATTTTTGATCCATGGAAGTTTTATATTTAACTTTCCTAAAGAAGGAAAGGGATTTTAAAATCCACGACGTTGTTACAATGAAAAGTCTATGGGCAGACCGGAAACTCACGGCCACGGCCAGCGAGAGAAACCCTGTTGCTCATGTTGGGTGGGCCCCAAAGTAAACCCTTTTCTTTGGCATATGGGCCAGGCGAGCAGTTCTTAATGGACTGAATAGGCGCCTGTTCTAATAATACTAGTTCTAATGACACTGGCAACAAGTGTCATCTGGCTGGATAGCCAGAATCTATGGAAGAAGGACGATTATTCCCTCTTAATTAATTCTATTAATTATGGGCCAAGTATTTAAATCCAGCAAGACTTGCCTAAGTAGGCTAACTAAATATTAGACACACAGCATTGTAGGCAAGGAAATGTCATACATACAGTGACTTATATCACAAGCAGCTCATGTGTCCCTTTTTATTTTTTTTTATTTTTACACAAATACTGTCATATACTGTATAAACCCCAGTGAAATATCAGGAAGGTTTCACATCATGTTGGATAACTGACTACTAATGTCCATACTATGAAATATTATGATAAATGATGAGATTATTTTCTAATCACATCCAATTACTGTTGATGCATATTTTACAGAGAAAACTGAAGGTCTTCCGTAACACATTTAATTTAATCAGGACAGAATACACAGAATATGATGCCTCATAGTGTTTGCAATTTAGAAATCCGCACATTAAATTCGTAACAGCTGTTTAAATAAAAGTAGGCACTAGCAGCGGTTGTTGCCACAGAGGCTGAAAGGTTATGGGATTTCAGTAGGTTTTGGTGCAGCATGAATTGCCCTGCAGCAAAAATTGGATAAAGACTCGCCCAGGAAACATAAAATAAGGGGATGCTGGTCGGCTTTAGACGCCGGTTCCTCCCATTTTACCTCATAGGTTTTCCTGACTCCACACCTGAAGGAAAAAAAACTCTAAATCAGCTGGAACAAAGGGATGCAAGATGTGTGTGTGTGTGTGTGTGTGTGTCAGTGCAACTGACCTACATTTCTGTCTCAATCTATGGGGAGTAAATCAATGTCCTTGTAAATGCGAAACAATCTACAAAAAGAATATAAACACACAAGTACAAGTTACTAATTTCTATTTGTCTATCGTGTTTTATATTTGTGAATCATTAAGAGTGGATTTTGAATGTATATGTAGATTGTGTTTTGTCCACAAATTGTAATGTATTTGTGACTCTCAGTCTGTGCAGTTACAATAATATTGACATTGGTTTACGCCTAAATGAATGTCCCACATGCCTGTTTTAGTGTGCCCATAAAGTAAGGTTCCTGTTTTCCTGCAGAGGAAGGAAGAACCACAAAAAAGGTTGTTTTTTTTTTTTTTGTATTTGGCTGATAAACAGACCGCATGACCCGTCAGGATCTGCTGGCACCCAAATATAAACTATTACAGCCTGCCAGCATTTTCCAAAATTTTCCATCGTTCTCAGTGTTGGAATCTTTATTTATTAATTATTCTTGCTTGTTTGTTTGGTGATCATTTATCTGCATAGATATAAAACCCGTCAGCTAACACCTTCAAGCACGGACTGTTTTCAGTCCCCCCCCCCCAAAAAAAACATCATCCCCAAACATCTTTTTTACTTTGTTTATTTCCAAGGTGTCATCTACACAGAGGTAATAGGTGCAAGACAGATCTGACTGTTCAGACTAGTGAATCCGTACATTCACCTACTTGCATGTTACAAGTTTATAATAGTAACCTTTTATTTATACAGACATTATTCTCAATTTGTACTCTGAGCATTATGATTACAGACCACTGATTTCTTCTCATGCAAGTACAGAACATATACGTACATTGGCAGTCAGTTTGTCAGCTTTGGTCTCTGCAGTGTTTTCAAGTGCAACCTATAACATGTTTGATCAGTCTGCTGTGTTCAGCGCTGGTTATTTTTTGAGTGTCAGAGCCGTTAGCATAGGTCTCCTATTACGATGATGTCTATGCCTACTGTACCTGAATATTGGGAATACCTATTGTCTCTTTATTTGCAAATCATTCTGATTTGTTGAATTTTGTTTTGTTTGCTTCTGTAGGTTATCCTCAATTCAAGTTGTGCCCTGAAAATGCCAAAACCACCAGTACCTAGTTGAGCAGACATAAGGTAGGAGACACAGAGTCTTTTGTCTTTCTTTAAGTGCCAGTTTTGGCCTGTTTGTGCCTATATATCTGCCTGTCCGCCTGTCCAAGTCAAATAGAGGATGTGCGTCACAAACCAAAACAAAAACATCATGCACAATACGAAGGTGGAGTTGGAGCTTTGAAACATGTTTTCCATGCAACAGGGAAGGAGGCCAGACTCATCAAAAAGCCTTTTAATCGCTGGCAAACATTTATAGAGTAAGAAAAAATTTACTTCTTGGCGTTGCTTTTCTTTTTCTTTGCTCACATGGATGCCCTGATTCTGACAAAGATTCACAACAGATCCATTTGAGGGTTGGGTGCCAAAAAGTTTAAAACCTAATTTTTATACAGTCTAACAAAACCAGCACCTTAAAAGCTCTGGATCAATCATAATTTACATTTTGATGGCTTTTTAACATCAGACCCAGTCTAACAAAAGTGGCAAATTATATATTAATACACTGATACGTTTGCGCATAAACATTTATTATATCATTATTATAAAAAGTCAAATAAAAATGTCTGAAAATGAATAAGATGGTCTTTAAATTTACCGTTAAATTACATTCACACATAGTTTGGAAGTTAATATTTAATAAATGAATGAATTAAATAAATTGAATTTTTAAATATTATTACAAAGTTTAAAAAAACAAAGATTTCTAATGGGTCAGAAACTGGTCTATGGTTTGCCTGATACAAAAGAGAGTGTGAGATTTCCCAAAGTAGCTGCATAATAAACTAGTAGTTGCAATGCATGCAGCTGCTTGTTCCCATCAAGCCACCTCTGATACCAGGGAGAAAGTTTGATCATGGCCTTAACCTGTGATGGTGTTTTGATTTCAACTCTAACCACTCCATATACCTAAACTTGACCAATTTAAATCAGAATTCTTCGTGTTAATTCTATGATTTGCGTGTAAAAGTTTATTTGTGTAGCACATTTCAACAACAAGGCAATTCGAAGTGCTTTACGGAAAACGTAAAAGCAACGTAGGGAAATATTTAAATCCAATTTTTAAAAATAGAAAATAAAAAAAAAGGTTAATTTACCCAGTGTACCTATTTGTTCACCCATAATTCTCATGGGTGACGAATAATCATTTTATTTTCTCACCAGTCAAACCTGATCCTCTTTATGGTACGATATTTATTTAATCTTATTCACTCGTTTACGCTACAGTCTTGGTAAAAGCAGTCAAAACTGCAGAGAAAACTGAATCTACAAGTAACTTGATAATGTAGGTGTTAATGCAACGTTTTCCTCTTTTGTGTAGCAGAGGTAAAAGTAGGACTTACAAAATGCTCAAATGCTAAAATAAAGGACCAGTATATCCCAACTCTACTTAAGACTTACGTAAGTTAGTAAAACTGAATGACTTGATTGTGATTTAACTCACCCCTCCTTTTCATGACTGTCCTGTAGTTGTTGGTTTTAGAATGAACTCAGAGAGAGAAAAACAGTAACACACGTGTTTATACCCCTATACCTTTTATGAACCCTCACTTTCCTAAACTGTTTTCTAACTGAAACTCAAATTGGTCCTCACAAAAATAGACATACACACAGAAAGCTAGAAGGAGAGATTGAGAGTGTAAACTGGAAAGACCAAAACCACAGTACAGGTTGTTCTTCAACTAGGATCTTTGAAATGGCTAAATGGTTTTTATCTGAATGCTGCACATACATGCACATAGGGAATTGCGTGTGTAAACTTGGTGGTAAACGCCCTCGCATGTCAGAGTAATATGTTAAGTTAGATAAATGAAGAACAGGATGAAAAATGTACCAGCACACACAGCTTAGACAGCTGACTCATAGCCAGAAATGGACAGAAGCCAAGTGTATTTTTGTGGTTCATGTAATTTAACTAGCAGCTGTTGTTAGTTTTAAGATGTAGCTGTTGCCAGGTAAATAATCTGGTATCACCAAAATGCCTTGTTTTAACTTGATGACAAATGTGTTAACATCTTAAACACTGAATTTTAGAGAATTTGCACACATTGTACAACTCTTCAACAGATCTAAAATTGGACAATTGTAGATGCAAGGTTTTTACCCAACAGCAACAACTGAGTGCAATGCTACTTTAGCTAGTGGGGGCCACAGTACCTCTGTTATTTACTACTGAATATTGATCTTGGTAGAAGATGTTGCACATTTGAATTTTTATGCTGTGTTGGGAATAGTGTCAAATAGCTTTGTAGGATATACCATCCCCTCCTAAAGTCTTGGAACGGTAAGGCAAATTCGTTTGTTTTTGTTGTTCACTGAAGACATTTGGGTTTAAGATAAAAAGATGATTATGAGACAAGAGTTCAGAATTTCAGCTCTCATTTCCTGGTAACAACTTAGGTTTGTTGTAGGTTTGTTGTTGCCCAGGTGTTGCCTTTTAGGTTGATTATCCAAACATTACATTCTGCATGACTAGTCTAAGTTTTCATCCTCGGTTCAAACCTGTAAAGACTGCATTTCCTGTTAAAGAAGATAAACCAACATGAAGACCAGAGAGCTGTCTATGGGAGAAAAGCAAGCCATTGACAAGCTGAGAAAAGAAGGAAAATCGAGCAGAGCCATTGGACAAACATTGGGCAGAGCAAGCACAACAATTTGTAACGTCCTGAAAAAGAAAGAAACTACTGGTGTACTGAGCAACAGATGTCAAACAGGTCGGCCAAGGAAAACAACAGTAGTTGAGGACAGAAATATGGTGAGAGATGTGAAGAAAACCCCCAAAACATCAGTAAGTGACATCAGCAACGACCTCCACAGTGCAGGGTGAAGGTATCACAATCCACTGTTGGAAGAAGACTCAGAGAGCAGAAATCTAGAGGCCACACCACAAGATGCAAACCACTCATCAGCAGGAAGAATCGGAAGGCCAGACTGAAATTTGCTAAGAAGTACAGAGATGAGCTGCAAAAGTTATGGACTGATGAGACCAAGATTAATCTCTAGCAAAGTGACGGAAAGGCCAAAGTGTGGAGAAAGAAAGGAACTGCTTATGATCCGAAGCATACGAGCTCCTCTGTGAAGCATGCTGGAGGTAATGTCAGGGCCTGGGCGTGCATGGCTGCTTCTGGAACAGGCTCATTAATATTTATTGATGATGTAACTGATGATGGTAGCAGCAGAATGAATTCAGAAGTGGACAGAAACATTTTGTCTGCCAATTTACAGAGAAATGCATTGAAACTAATGGGGAGGAAGCTTATCATGCAGCAGGACAATGAGCCAAAGCACACTGCCAACAAAACAAAGGACTTCATCAGGGGGAAAAAGTGGAAAAGTGGAAAGACTGGCCAAGTCAATCAGCTGACCTTAATAGAGCTGCATTTCACCTCCTTCAGAGGAGACTGAAGGGAGAAACACCCCGAAACAAACAAGAACTGAAAGAAGCTGCGGTAAAAGCCTGGAATAGCATCACAAATGAAGAATGCAGTTTGGTGATGTTGACGGGTCGCAGGCTTGAGGCAGTTATTGCAAGAGAGGGTTATGCCACCAAATATTAAATTTTATTTCCATTACTTTTGCTCACCTAAGAATGCTGTGGTCTAATACAAATGGTGATATTACCTAAGTTGTTTAACACATCTAGATGTGAATATCAGGAAATGAGAGCTGAAATTCTGAACTCTTCTTCTTAAACCCAAAACAACAAAAACAAAGGATTTGCCTTACTGTTCCAATACTTTTGGAGGGGACTGTAAATTCAAAATTTATTACCAAAATTTATAAATATAACTTTATTACAAAACAGACTTATCCTCCATATAAACTTACTCAGGTTTGGAGTCTGTAACAGTTTTCAGTTATCTCGGTTTTCTGTAATTATATTTCCAGAAAAATAGAAATAAGCCACTGCTTTTTATAAAAATAAACTGAAGTCAAAGATTGATAATCCCAGCATGTTTGGCTGAAATTACCGAAGTTCTCCAAATAACTCGCTGGGTTTTTTAATGATTTTTATGTTTTACAGAACAACATCATTTATGTGATTAGTTACGGTTACCATTAATAGCCTGCAAGTTTATTTTTCTGAGTGAAATACAGACATCTTGCTTGTAATGGGGAAAATCTGAGTATGAACTGCTGATATTTCAGTCAGAAAATACAATAAAGTATAACATCAATAAAGCATGCATGACATCAGTGAGGGAGGATAAGATCAGTATGCTTTAATAATAAGATATCAGTGCAGAAACACAAACTTCTTATTGGGTTGAGTTCCCCATATAGTAATAACAATATATGATAATAATAAGTTCAATATTTTTAGCTTATTTAAAAAAAATACAGAACTAGCTAATATAACATTACTGTATGACATTGACAAAACAGAATACAAATAGCTGAACATGGATCCCATAAGGAAAAACAAAAACCCTGTTACACGAGACACAAGACAAAATGCTTTATTGTTTTTTAAAGAGGAAGTGCAATGAAGGAGTCGACTGACTCCTGACACTTTTTTGTTTTGGGGGAAACCCTTCAAGCAGCACAGTATGTTGAGCACTACGACTGGTGATAAGCCTTCTAGGCTTTAAATAGAGAGCTGAAGCCCCACCCGTTTTTAGGTTAGCATCTGTGCTACTAGCATTTGCGTTTTAATGGATTCTCTGAGTTGTCTCTCTTCTGTCTAGTTTCTGGGGTTTTCATATTCTAAGGTAATCTAATGGCACACTTAAGCAGTGACATTTTCACATTTTATTTTAGCAAAGATAAAACAATGTTAGGATATGATACCTCTAAGATACTTTAAGGACTCAGAGGTGTAGTTTTTAAATGCTACAAAATAATTGTTGTTTTATCTTGGTTAAATGACTAGGTGTATACATTTATTTCTAAAAACTTTTTATTTTAAATTGTCTTGCCTTGGCTAGTGGAGCAGAAGCTAGCTTAAAATGGGGTGCAGGACTTCCCTTCTGCCTAGATTTGTATTTTTAAAATCAACTTCCATCTGGCCAACTCTATCCACATACATTAACACAATTTGGTTCAAATCTCATCAGTTGCTAAAAAGTCCATTTGCATGTTTCAGAACATGTAATATAATCCTAAAACCTCTTTGGTCCCATGAGATTAACATACAACTGGGACTGTTAAAGAATAGTTTTATATTTGACTGTAAATCTGACAATATTTAAAAACATGCTTAAGGTGCTTTTCTGGAAACCTAATCTAACAAACTTTGATTTCTATAATCAGAAATCCGAATTTAAAACATAACAAGTTTTTTTAAATACTATACATTATCTTACAAATAGGAATAGCTCAATTTGCAGGCTTTTCACCTTGAAATAAGAAGAACTTTTAATTTGAGTAATGAAAAAATTGCCTCTTGTCTCAAGTAATTGCTAACATTAGGAGAGAAAACCAAATTTTGTTTGAATTTCCAAAAAATTAAGAGGGGAGTGAGAGTAGAAACAGATGAGTAATCTGTCGAGTGGAGGAGTTGAGAGATATGCGTCAGTGGGCAGGCTGAGCAAGATGTGTCCCTCAGCTCGACATCAGTTATTTTCATATCTTCATAATTGTTCAAACTGTTTCTCTGCCTACATCCCCTCTCAGGGAAATGCTCCTCTCCAGTCCTATTAAACATCTTGTGGCCCAGGTGGCTTGTTTTTTTTTTACAACCTGGATTTAATCTTCACAAAAATTTAATTTATGAACTTGGACTGGAAAAGCAGTATAATAGGTCTCCTTTTAAGATCACGTTTTTCCATCCAAAAAAGTAGTTCAGATACTGTAATATAGTTAAACTGCAGATTTGGTTGTAACCTAAGCTTCTAAATCATGATATTTTACTTCATTCCTATGTCTCTGCAATGGAGTTGGTCCAAAATGTGATAGTAGCTAGTAGAACTAATGGCAAAAACCATAAATATGGGGCAGTTCGTAAAATTATGAATTTCATTTTATTGGTGTCTCTCCTATACACGAGGCATTCATGAGAAATTGAATAGCTTTCATTTTAAACTGTATTATCTACACGGTCAAGTCACAGATGACCAAACTGCTAGAGGAGGTATCTGCTTGTAATCTTAATCTAACACTTTTAAGCACCACTCACATCATTTGCATCTTAAAAGCACATTGTGCAGCATGTTTATTCAAATAAAAAGCTATATATCCAAATAAAAGTCAGGAAAATTTGGTTTGCCGAGTGATAGTAATGGACTCTTAACATCTGTATCAAGCAATCTGCAAAAGCAAAGCATGAACTTGGTCGGACACTACTGTCCCCTCTAACCTGTGACCCTTCCAGGAAAACTCTTACTGTACAGTCAAATCTTTTTCACCTAAACCTAAAACCCCTCATCAACAGACTGTCAGGTCATTTGATGAGCTAGGAAATTATTACCTTAAAAACCGTTCAACAAATTTTCTCTTCATCACCAGGGGATCTACATGGAGTTCTTGTAGGGTTCTACTTGAATCTTGATCTAAATTAATGTATCCGATGAGGCTATAGAGGATCTGTTAACAGGACCTCAGGGGTTATTGTGGAAAAACATCCTAACTGTGATGTTGTATCACTTAATTTGGGATCTTTTCCAGTTCGTTTAACTTTTACATGGGATACAATATCATGTTAGGATTTAATTAAAAATCACCCCCAGAGTTATTTATGTTACAGGTTGAAGGGAACAAACTGTGCACTTGAAGGGCAAAGTCAGTAGGCGTTGAACAACAATGAAGTCATTATAAGGCACGTTATATAGATTTAAAATAAACTTTCAGCATGACATACAGCAGAGAACATCAAAATATAGTATTAGTGGATCAAAGAGATGTAATAAAAGTTCTAAAAATGACGCATACATGGTCAATGAAGCACCTTTGCTTTTATATATGCAACTGGAAAACTATGTGATTATGTGGCAACTTCACCTTCTTAACAATGTTCAAAATGCTACATATCTGAAAAGTGAAACTTAGAAAACTGATTTTCATCTTTAATCTGAACTCTTTTCCTGTTATTTTTTTGTCTTAAAGCAAGAACAACAACAGTACTGTCCAGTCGACAGATTCAATAGATATTTTTAGGGATAAGATATTAAGGGTATTTAAGGATAAAACAATGAAGGGAAAAAAAAAATACCACAACACGGAAACAGCACGAGAGGAAACAGCACTGTGTGGGGATCTGATCGATCTGCATCTACAGGGGTAGATAAGGACAAAGTACCAGAACACAAACACTAAAAACACTATCTTCAACATTAGTTTTGTCTTTTTAAATACATAACGTATATGTGTACAAAGCTCTATAACTGATACTCAAAAAGTGGTCACACAAAGACAATTACCTGGAAAAAAAACTAATTAGATTAGGAAATATTGTGAGAACGTGTTTTCACTGAAGGCATACTGTTGATGATATTACTGACATGACTGGGGTGAAAATTAGTTTCTAGTTTGAAATTAAAAATCCTGAATCCTTAATCTTAGTCCACTGTGTATTAGGACGACTAATAATATTCTGTATCAAAGCGCTCTGATATTGGCAGCTACTGCATGTCGTTAATTATAAAGAAAAAACTGGCCTTGTCCTAATCCTAAAGAATACATACATACACTCCACATTCAAGTCACTTCACAGGCTGCTGCTGCTGCTGCTATGTACATATGTATAGTCTGAATGAGTACGTGATTATGCAGTTGCTTCTGTCATCTAGCCTTACACTGTCTGGTTTGTGCAGTGGTGTGCAAAGTGGGTGTGGGGAGCGACCTCCACTGCCCTTCCTGCTCCAGAAAAGTGGATTAATCTTTGCCCTAATATCACACCAGTGGGGCTATAGAGGCTGCTAGAGCTGCTCATGTAACCCCATTCTCTGATGAGCCCAAATACCAACTCAATCTCTACTAAGTGGAACTCTGATCAGCCAAAGTGACTTACGACCCCCCCCCCTATTGCACTTCTGATTAGCCCATTCAAATGCCCATTATACATCCCAAATATCCCCCTTTTTAGCTTAGAGGGCATTTCAGTGACTTTGCAAGTTCAGCCCATTTACTATAAATCTAACTCATACTTTACAATACAGTGAACCATTCTGCAAACCATGTTGCTGCGGTTTAGAATTGTTTTCTTCCATTCCAGGCAGACATTAGTTTCTATACATTTTTGTACTACATGGACATGAATGACATAGTTTAGAATATAGTTACGCAAGATGTCTCAAATAATTTATAGCTTGATTTCAAATATGAAGCTTTGAACATGTAAACGTAGATGCTCTGCTATCATCATATGTTTCTTTGCCATATAGGATTCCTGAATATCTTAGGACTTTAGACCGTGTACAGGACAGTATAATGTGCTTAGGACTGATTGTCAGATAAAACAAGACATCTGAACTTGCTGCCTCTCAATAAGTTTTCACTATTTTTGTAAATTTTTATAGACAATCCAAGGCATATTAATTGATAACGAAAAAAAATCTTTGTTGCGGGCCTACAGTGTTAAAGTATTTAGAATTATTAATTAAATCAAATCAATCAGGAAATGCAGTGCAGACTTTTCAAATCAAGCATTGCCACACACAAATATTGTAACTTTGACCCAAAAACTATGCAACTATGATGCATTACACAACTCAAGCAAGTTTCAAAATTCTGCTAATTGATTTTAATACTACACAGAAATAAATGAAAACCAATGTCTGCCTGGAAGGGTAGAAAAAAACATAAAATTGCATAGTCTGCATTTGACAAAGGTCAGCAAAACTAGCAAAAGTACATGTAATCTCTTGTTAAGCAGCCTACAACACTTTAAACCTTAAATTAAACTTGCAGGAGAGGTGCCCCTTTTTCTTCCTCATACCAGCTCCTTAGATATTTGTGTACACCACTGTTTTTATATGGTTGTCTATATGCGTAAAGTGTGTGTGTTTGTGTGTGTAAGCTCACAATATTGTAATCACATAAACTCTTTCAGTGTGTGCAGGTCAGACCTTTTGTACAAGCTATCCGATTGGTGAATAAGGCTAGCTTTGTTTCTGACTATATAAGCTTTAGCTTAATGAAATAATTGCACAATAAAAAAAAACCCTGTAGTCACACAATCTACATACCTGACAGAAAAAAAACAAGCATGAGAGAAACAATGTTTAAGAAGAGAAGATGGAATAAAGAAAAACAAAGCGTTATATTCTTACAGTAGAGTAGATGCATTGCAATATGTTTATTAGTGTGTCTGAGTTGGACACACATAATAATCTGGTAGGTAGAGTAAAAATAAATGCGAGAGGGAATAATTGATATGGTAAAGTGCCCCATCGATTTGGATTGAATAATGTGGGGAGATCTGATAAAAGCTAAAATGTCTCAATTCAATAAAGTAATAATTATACTTATTATAAGAACTAAAACAACAATAAAAAAGCATCATTGAAGGTTGACCCAAACAGATTGAATGCTATTGTAAACCAGTTGTTGTGAGAATCATCACACTGCGCTACTTTGTTATTTAAACACAGCGGTTGATGATGTTACAGTGACTCAGGCAAGAAGAGGCAGGTTTGATGACTGTATATGTGGGAAACGCTTGAGCAGAGCTGGGTATCATTTTTGATTATGATTCTGCTTCTCATCATGCCCTGGTCCTTTTATCTTAAGCAGACTTGCCATATACCATTAAGTGTTTTATGCAAAAGAAATTCTCTATCTTGCCACGTACGCAAGTAGCAAGCCAAAGAAGTTGTGACTCCATACTACCAACCATTAATTATTTTTCCACAGCTGTTACATTTAGCCACGCTTTAAAGTGCTCTGGTCCAGCATATTGCACTGCAGTGATTATGTTTCTTGGGTGGGAGGGGGGGGGTCAGTAAGCAGAATTAATGAGCCTACTTATACATTTGATGGCTACAAGTCACAACCCCCTCATGACACCCAACTCTTGCTTGAAGCTTTGAGTGAAACTACAAACGTGGGCTGGTTTTAACTGCTGGTCAAAAACACAAAGTGAAAGAACACAGTGTCTCTGTTGATGTGTAGGTACTAACATCTTCTCGTCTGAGCTAAATACGTTGATAAAGAGAAGGTAGGGCTGGCAATAGAGGTCATACCAGGGTGTGGGTCTGGATAAGATACAGGTTGTAGGTTTGAATCCCATAACTATATGTAGCCAGGCCATGGATTCCCACCTTGCTAAGCCTTGGCAAGAAACCGCAGAGCTGGCCTTTAAGGCAGGTTGTGTGTGTTTAAATCCCACGCTGCTAATACCCCTTTACACCATAGGCCCGAGTTCAGCCTGAACACCAAACACAGAGCTGACCCGATGACCGGCGCTAAATCCCAGTGTCAAGACTTAGTGACACAGGTGTTGCATCATTTTGTCCCATGTTTACCTTTTTTCACCAAGTGACCCATGTTAGCTTCTATGTGTATGTGGGTGGCTCAATGCAGGTCAACTTTTATACAATGGCGGTCAACCTCAGCATCTTGTCCAGAGCTTGGGGGTAAAGGGATGCAAGTAGCCCTGATCTCTTAGCTTGTTTAGATGGTTTAGGTACAGAGCTATAAAAAAGGACAGAGTGTGGGGCTGACCAAATAACATTAATTGGACAGGATATGGTTTTGCATACCATTCCCTATAGGTAGCCTAACATCAGTGCTCTCAGAAGGCCCATAGGTATGAATGTAAAGAAAGGCTTAAGTCTCAGGCTGCAGGTTGAGACTCAGGGCTGGGAGTAAGTTGGGTCTATGGCGGGGTTTGAATCCGGGGCTCTAGGTGGCCTGGTCCAGGGCTCGCAGTAGGTCACAGCCCTGAAGGAGGTGCAGGTTGCCCTGCAGCGGGATGTTGACCTCACAGTCATAACGGGTCAACTCTGGCAGGCAGGAGGACTCAAAGGAAGTGCCCAGCAAACGGCTGACTATACCTGAAAATAGAAATGGGGATTCAATAAAAGGCAGGAATATAGAAACTGACATAAGTAACAATCTTATTTTTATTTAAGAGGTGTATTATGCTAATTTTCAGGTCCAAAATCTTATTTAGGTTGTTTTTTTTCTTTTCAAACTGCACATTGCTGCAGCTCCTCTTTTCACCCTGTGTTGAAGGCTTCGTTTTAGCTATGGAGTGACACATCTCGTCTCTACATGATCTTTGTTGGGAGTTTCACATGGGCAATTCCTAGTTAAGGACTACTAGCCAATCAGAAGCAGAGAAGGGCGAGTCAGTGAGAAGCAAACACGGATTTGTTTCAGCTGTACATGTTGCCGACTGGCGCAAGAGTTTCAGAGTGGTGAGTTATTAATCTGTAACAAAAGTATTTTGCATCCATAAAGTTATAACTGAGCTCTGTCTCTACATCAAAGGACCAACTTTATGTCTTCTGACTGGGTAGCTAGTGTTTGGAAGGGAGAGGAGAGCTGCGTGCTGCAGCTCAGTGTTTTTGAGGGGTGTCGGAGTAGCTGCTTAGTGAGCGTTATGAGGCGCATTTAGCTTTCTTGCGTGTGTCACCACAAGGATGAAAGGGAAGCGGCTGGACTACAAACGAGCTGTTTTCAAGCAGTTCAGTGCAGAGTTTTCTGTGGGAGATGGGAACTCCCTTTGGGCTGGACTTGGGGCTTTTTCACTTTGCAAACCTATTACATGCACAAGAAATGTATCTAACTCAGTAAAGGAGAGGGAAAAAGCCAAAAGCATAATACCACCCCTTTAAGTCACGCTAGCCTGTAATTGAGCCCTAAAAACCTTTTTCTTAAAACAAGTGGGGGGAAAAAATCTGCCATAGCAGTAATATGATTGCCTGTTGCACAAGTTCCTTGAAATTTTAGTAAGATCTTAAGTGAAAATAATAAAACAAAAAAAACAACTTTATTCTAGAAAACAGGAAACACATGTTGATTTGTATTGGATCCAGATTAATATATTCTATATTTCTTGCCACATTTGTTTTCTTGCTTTAATAAAATACAACTTTAATGGCACAATTACAGATTAAAAGGATAAGGAGTATTCCAGGTTCTGGTGCTTTACACAGTGACGTTGGATGAGTTTCTCGGCAGTTTAAACGTTAAAGTCACATCTGCTCACCCTCAGTCTTGGTAGAAGCCAGCATGTTATACTGTGTGTAGTTGTAGCTCTTTTGGGGAACAGGTTTCTCATGTGCACCAGCTATCCCATTTTCTGGATACTGACACTTCCTGTGTTGCGGCAGAGAGCTGAGACAGGAAGACATGCTGCCTGGCATCATCCTTCCCATCCCCGACTCTGAGACAGAGAGATTACAGGTACAGTAGTTGATTGAAAGTGATAATGATGCAAGATATTTTTCCACAAACAAACAGTGAGTTCATACCTGCCAGTGATCCTGTGCTGAGGGAGCGATCCATGGCGACACAACCATCAATCCTCATCTTCTTCCAGATTTCCGATGGCTTATTTTCACCCTAAAATGCAAACACATGGTTACTTTATTAGCTGATATATACTGATGCTCACTTTCAGATCAAAGTAGCACTTGCGTCATTATTTTTCAGTAATTAGCTGCTTATTTTAAAGAAAAATTATTTTAAAGGAGTAGCTGAAGTAAATATACAGGTGCCTCAAGAAATTTGAATATCATAGAAAACAAATTTATTGTGAGCACCACAAATTAAAGGCTCAGAAAACCTTTGCAGGTGTCTTGAGTTAATAACTGATTCAAGCTCATCTCAGGTCAACATTTCTGTTATTCTAAAAGTTTTAATAGTTTTGAGGTACTAGAGTTTTTGATTCCCATGCGCTGTGAGCTGTAATCCATCAAGGTTAAAACAAAATACAAAAAGAAAATGAACTTTTCCACGATAATCAAATGTTGTAAATACAATTCTGGTTTCAAACATGTCATAAATGGACAGTTATGCTGGATAATCTGCCCTTTTTTTCCATGCAGTAATGATTCTCAGGAATACATATGAAACTTGTTGCTATATACTGTGTGTTAATCAGAGGAACTCACCACAGACATCTGGGTAAAGGAGCGCTTGATACTGTTGGCCATGGCCACTCTGGCTGGACTCATGTCTCTGTAGGCTTGAACAAAATTGTCAGCCGACCTGCAAACACAACACATCATTAGGCTGTTTTTTGATTGGTCGTCATACCAACAGGATGGACAAACATAATTTCAACACAGGGAAGTTTGACTGCGAGGTACTAACTGGACCAACTTCCTTTGGTTTGCATTGTAACACTATGAAAATGTATCTCTAGTGCATTATTGTTTTTGTCTTGGTTTAAAACTTGAATGTCAGGACTTTGTTTATTGTTACATCACCTATATTTCTGCATGAGATGTGGCGTGTTCTGTTGACAGGGCAGGCGCTCCTCTCCTGACAAAGCGTCCATCAGGTAGGCCTTGGTGGCTCGTGGTTGCTGTTGGTAGGTTAACAGAGGGTCTGGTGGCCACTGCAGGTTCTGCCTCCCACCCATGGAGGACAGTGGGGTGCTGGCTGGAGCCCGGTACGGGGGACTCTGCATTTGCCCCATAATGCAAGACCTTGCACAGGGGTCCACGGACCCCTGGCTGGAGCCTCTCTTCTCCCTTGCAGCCCAGGATGCAGCTGGCTGGTGCTGGTAGTGGCCTTGGGACTGAGGAGGGGAGGACAAGGGCTGGAAGAGGCTGACAATGTTGCTGAAACTCTGCAGCGTGGCCTTGTGTGTTTGGGTCAGGCTGCTGCTGCTCCCCATGGATCCTCCGGGACCTCCCTCCAGGGGCTCGGATTCTGGGATGATGGGATTCAGCTGGAAGTCCTCACCATCCATTGGGATGTACGGAGCCAAAGTCTCCAAATCTAAGTCACTCAAGTCTCTCTGGGAAAGTGAAAGATACCATGGTGTGTTAAAAATGGGGGGGGGGGGGTCTCCACTGCTCACTTATGTAGATTACATGATCCTTGTTTGAGTGTGCAGGTAGGTACATTTTTACAAATTCTTAGTTTATACAAAAGCCTTAAAACATACAGAGTCTTCATTAAAATAGATTATATTAAATTTTTTTTTTGATAAACAGATTATTTTGGCTGTTAAGAGCGGGGTTTAAAATAACTGATTTATGACAACCCTGAAAAAAGATATAATTTGTATGATATTCTGCTTGCGAAGTTGTAGAAAGACTAAAAATGTCATTCAACATGGGAAACATCTTCTCCTTGATTCCCAAAAAGGAAGAGCCAAGGAAAGCCAAGTTTTCAACCAGATTCAGTAAACAAGGCCTCGTAAGTCAAATCAATGAACTGACGACACAGAGAGTAAGTTTTAGACATAAGTATATTCATGGGACAAAGAGAAGGACACACCTCCGTGTTTGCAGGACTGTTGTTGCTCTCCGTATCGAGAGCAAACAGCTTCTCTGTCAGCTCCACCTTCAGGTCACTCTCCACTGAGCTGTAGTAATCACCTGGGCTGCTGGGCTGCAGAGGTAAAAGAGAAGCAAGATGGAGGAAATGAAAAGGCGATACAGAAATGGAGAGCGCAAAGAGGAACAAGATGGCAAGCACAGAGAAAAAGGGACAAAAGTGGAAGAACCAAGTGTAGAAAGAACGAAACAAAGAGCGAGAGATGGGTTTTGACAAAGGCACTATTCACTGCTAAGAGCCTGTTCCTTCCAAATATCCACCCCCGTTATTCCCACACACACTGCCCACAGATTGTGACCTTTAACCCCCCCAGGCCTCATTGGACACAGAAAGAACAAACTATGAAACAAACACAACCAGTCACTCGCTCACTAACTAATTACTCCTTTCAATTTAACATTCAGTCTCTCAATCCCGCCTTCCCTCCTTGTCCTCACCGTGGAGCAGCTGCTGAGGCTCGGAGTGGCGCTGCCCGGTGGCGGATTCCGCTGCACAGTGAACGTACTGGCCATGGTAACCATGTCCCTTGGAACTGGTGCAGAGATTTGGCCTGATGGAGGGGCAAGCTTGTGGCTCTCGCTGGCCCAGGATGGAGGTTCCGGAGGGGGCATAGATGCAGCAGGCGCCTGTGCGTATCCAGCTGGCTGCTGGGGCTCCTCGAAGTGAGTGCGGCCTGCAAAATAAATAAGTCAGTTGTAAAGAGACGGGATCAAGAATTAAAGTGCCAAAAAGGTTTGACAAACACAAGACAGCTAATGCACGTACTGTAATTGAAAATTTCAATAAAACTAACTTACAAAATGTTTGTCTAGCCTATCTAATCTAAGTAGCTTTTATAGCATTAAATGAGGTGGTTAAAGTCCTGAAGTTCAAACTATTTAATACCATGGAAAATACTTTTCTACTTTCTGACTGGCTGGCAGGTGCCTGTTAAAATCAAGAGCTTGAACATAGCTGAGGTGACCACTTTGAATTGATGAGAATGCTTTGTGCACATCATACCTATTTAACTGACTACAAACACAATTTTAACAGCGTCTTTTTCATTTTTGGTAAGTTGCCACGTTTATGTAATGCACTACAAGGTGTTTTTTTGCATTAAAGCTAACATAATAATGAGCCCAACACATGCACTTAAAAGATGACAGAAGTCAATACAGACGGAAGTCGAGGCTGATGATTGTATCTCCAGGTGTTGGAGCCAGCTGGGCGAGGTCCTCCGGCTCCTTTTTGAGTTTGGTAAAGAGGGCATCTCCCGCCTCTCCGGCCACGCCTTCACCTCCAGCGTTGAAGAAGCTGCTCATGTGGCATGGCTTGAACAGGGACTCTGTCTGCTCCAAGGAGAAAATCATCGACTTCTCCTCAATGTCGCTGCAGGATTGGAGAAGGACAGCACGGTGAGTTGGGTTTTGTTTGGATACAGTGCAGCTTTCAGAGCACACAAACCTTTTAATGGGATTTGCAGCCTTACTTTTAGCATGCTGCAGGTTTTTCCATAATCTGCTACCTGAAACAATTATTTTAATTAACCCAAACATCTAAAACAATAAACACTTTTCGCCCAAATTCAACATCTTTCCTCCTACAGTTTTCCAGAACTGTGTCTCCCAGCATGACCGTACTTACCTGAGGACATAGTTTATGCACACGATGCACTGGGGCTGGGAGTTGCGGCTGTTATAGATGACAGTTCCCTGGGTTTCTACCCAGACGTAGCCTCCGTTCTTCGCCAGCATACGATACCGACCACTGACTGCTGACCCTTGGTACACACTGCAGAGAGAGAGAGAGAAGTGGGAAAGAACTATTGTTACGAGCTATTGTGTTTGGTGTCTCAAGGCAATTCAAGTATGAACTGAGCTACTTGTCCATAATTATACTCATGACCGTGAAGATGGTTTTATGTTGCAGAATGAGCTGTCCTCTCAACTCAGTCTTTGTCCTGCCCAGAACTCTTTTATGATTGTAATGAGTCATCATGAGCACCTAACCGCTCATATTCACACATTAAGCAATAATGGAGATTCAGCATTAAATGTTTGGTCATTAATTGTGTTTTGAAAATATAAGTCCGTGGTAGTGTGGAGAGTCAAATCAGTTAGGAAAACATGCTCCTCTACAGACCAAGACCATGTTACAACCCACTTTTAAAGACTATTGAATTATATCAAACATTTTGCCATTCAGTTAAAAAAAAATTAGCTCCTATGATGTTTCAATAAAATACTTTGACAAAGATATTTTTATTGAATGCTAACAAAATGATCATTGTTTGAGTTATAAGGTGCTCTTATTTTACTGTACAGCGGAGTAATGAAGTACAAACTGAATAATCTTACCTGAAGGAAACTAACCATTCATGAGAAAATACCTTGAACTGAAAGCTACAGTACTTCAGTCTGTTAATGTCAATGACAGAGATACTGTCAAAGCTCAGTGCAGCTGTATGTACTGTAGTTTGTGCTTAATTTGTAATTTTTTTTGTATTTACATTTCTAATTATTGAATTATTCATTAAATATCCATGTATTTATTGTGTGTGAGGCTGTGAAATCAACCAAACATCATTTAGCTGGACAAAGTCGGATGTTTGAGTTGAGAGGGAGATGTGCTGGCTGCAGACCAAAGTTCAGCACTGGCGTGGGAAAGGAGCAGGACTGTGGTCAGAGAGTGTACATAAGGGCAGTGACTGTGTGTGTGTGTGTGTGTGTGTGTGTGTGTGTGTGTGTGTGTGTGTGTGTATAAGGAAGCTTAGGGCAGCATTACATGCAGCAGAACGCTGTTAGCATGTGCTGATCGACAGGCTGGTCACGTTGACCGTGAGAGCCAGTTGTCTGTGTGTGAGATATAGAGCCCTTTATCTCAGAAGATTTCAGCCAGTTTAGGACTGTAGACACAGATGATTAAGACCAAAGGTAAAGAAACAACAACAAATCCATATTCAAACAAAACTAACGATCTACAGAAACTCTGAGTCCTAAAATCTGATATTGAAGTCAGTTCCTTAATCTTGTGTTTATTTTTTTAGTTTCAAGATACAGACACTGAAAAGGAGAATCTCACTGCTGGGTTATTTCTTGTTTTAAAAAAAGTTTAAAGGGGTTAGTTAAGATGATGACTTGGTGTAAAACCACTACAAATACTAAATCAATGTCCTAAATGGTTGTTTTGGTCTTTTTTTTGTTCTGTACGGCTGTTTTATAGTAACAGTGTGTTTAACAATTATACATTACAGAAGTTTGGCTTAATTTACTAAAGGTTCTTTGGGAAAATACTTTGTCAGCAAAGTAAGATGTCAAATAAAAATTAATAATAAAGTAGTTTTGGTTCTAAAAGTCAGGAATCATTGGCCAGCGATGCTGTCCATAAGAAGGATGTTTTATGCAGTGTACACACAGTGTAAACACAGGAACATACTGCCATTACGTTAAAGGGGTGGTTTTAAGGAAATAAATTACCACTTTTCCTCCTGTACTGTCACTGATGTTCTGTTCAGAGCTTCTAATTATATCGTACTGTCAGTAGAGAGAAAAGCCATGACACTTCAAAACCTTGTTCGCACACACACACACACAGTCATTAGAACAGAACAGAATATAACAGAGGCCACCTGGTCCCCTGTCCGCTGTGTTTGTGGCAGCAGATGTGCAAACCTCATCAGGTCATCAGTGGCCATGCTTGATTTAATAAAGACAAGACATCTTAATACCATGCTCCTACTCTATACACACACACACACACACACACACACACACACACACACACACACACACACACACACACACACACACACACACACACACGCATTACAGAAAACTTGCCTGATATTCATATTTAAACATTTTTTAGAATTTTGCCATGAGGATGTGAGGGAAAAAATAAGGGTCACATGTCATCACCATTGCGAAAATGTGGCAATGTAGGTACTTAGTAACATTATTTGGCAACTACCATAGTCCGGCTTTATTAATTAGTTTGTTTTATTGGTTTGCTCATTTCTCTAGGTGACAGGGGTGATTTAACACCACCTGTGCTGGTCGCATCTGGAGTGTGTATGTGGGTAATTTTTTACACACACACACAAATAATAATTAAAACCACGATTACATACTATAGCTGATCAATTCCAGTGATTGGTCCTTTGAATCCTTAAATTCATATAATCCAAATTGCAGAGCTCTCACTGGTCCTCTGAATCACTAAACACATTTCAAGCGTAATGGTATTTTTCACCACCTTGAATCAACACACTTCCATTTTTTGGTAAAACATGCAGGTTCACCAGCGTGAATCTGTATTAATTTTTTGCCCCTGATTGTGTATACATGTGAACTGTGTGTGCTTACAGTTGTGGTGGCTCTTGGTGACGCTGTCTGAGTCCAGGGCGTGGTAAAAGTCATAGACTGAGCGACCCAGCAGATCCTCAGCGGTGTATCCCATCAACTCTGTTACCCTGCAACACACACACACAGACTTAATAATGCACAGGTTATTTATTTAAACTTTTCTGTGATTCCCTTCTTACAAGGAATGCACAAAAGACAAATCCTGCACCCTGTGCTGAACTTCTGCACTTCAAAAGGCTTCACACACGATTGGGAAATCAAACAGAGGAGGTGAACAGCCTTCCAACAATAAGAATTGTTCACATTCTCTGTCTCTGCTAACTCCCTGTGTTTCTGGGAACACCTAATCTCTTTCCGTCACTCTGATCACGAGTTCACTTTGTTAATGAGGATTTTGTTGCTGGCTTTCAGTTACTTAATTTCCTTTTATTTCTCTCCAGCTCTATTTTCCAGGTAAATCCATCAATATACAGATATTGGGGCGACAAAGAGGCATTCAGGTGCAGTCTTCACAGTTACATGAACTTTTTTGAGTTGAGGCTATTTTGTGAAGAACAGTTGCACTGAGACAGGAGCATTTTTTATTAAACACAATATAACCTTTGGGCCACATTGTTAACCTGTGAATGGTGATATGAAATGTTAGTGTAGTTTACGATTTTAAAATTCCTACATGTTAACCGGCGAAGTCACACGGAGCTCACATTAAGAGAAGAAAGGTCCCCAATCGTGCAGCAAAGGGTGTTACGCATTTTCAACAAGCCCGGCGTCGGTGCCACTACCACTCTGCCCTCATTACGGTTGGCACTCAATGTGGCGGACCGTCCGCATGAACGCGCAAACGGCGTGGAAGTAGGAAGGGAGAGGGAGTAGGAAGCAGTTTCGGAGGGGCCCAAACTGTGCTGTGAGAACATAATCCAAACTAATAACAGGAAATGACCCCCTGAACGCAAGCTTTTATGAGTATTACGAGAGGAGAGAGGGTAAAAACTGATGCAAAGAATGCGGACACCATCGTCCTGCTTAGCCTAAATTGTTTTAATTTGCTGTTCTGCTTATCATACTCAATGTCTTTCTCAAAGTTTAGATGGAAACACAACATTAAATCAAGTTATGATAAAAAAACGACCATATTCATCATTTATGATTGAAAAGACTTTTAATGTACTGTAGCTCTCGGAGTCTTTGACAATTATGAATAGCTGTAAGCTTCCCAGTTATGGTCATCATCTATCATAGGTTTTTTTATTCCACATTCCCAGACCAGAATTTCTGGATTTTTTTTTGTAAAAATGAATTGTGAAGATAAATTGTAAGTAATCAAGTCACAGTAGGATGAAGATGAACAATCTGTGGACGATGATGTGTCTTGTGGATTTGTTGTGAGAGACTAGAAGAAAGAGGAGAGGGGGGGGGGGGGGCTGGTGGTGCAGAGGCTCTTGTTCTTATTACATAACACTGACAGGCCTTAAGAGTGGAGGGAGGGCAGAGAAAATGAAGTAGAGAGGAGGAGAGATACATCTTAAAGTAAAGTGGCCAAAAATCTGAGGAAAAATAGGCAGCGAAAAGGAGATAGATAAGTGAGAAAGTGAATTAAGGACAGGAGCAAAGAAAATAATGGTTGGAAAAATGTCAGATGGAACAGAGAAAGGAGGTGGAGAGAGGAGTTGTAGTGAAAAAGAAAGAAAACTAAATCATATTCAAGAGTGGTTGCAACTAAAATAGCTTAAAATTATAATGATGATGATGATGATTGCTGGCTCAAGACCCCCAATATACACACTGCTACTAACATATGACCCTTTCCCCTTCATACTGCTTTTTCTCTTTGCTTCTTTTTCTTCGTCTCTGCCTTCCTTTTTCTTTTATCCATTACTTACCAATGGTAACTTGGTTACAAACTGTAAAGATTGTCCCTGCCGTATGAGTGTTGTTGTGCTATACAGTCTGATAATCCATCTTAAACACTAGCTAACACTAACATATCTATAAAATGAAATATCTTCATTTTCTACCATATATTACAATATGGTCAAATCTATCACATGCACTCCTAACAACAAGATCAATAATAGTGATGTGCATCACGGATTTTATGACCAGCCAGGAGTCGAGCTCTGTCCAGCAAAACTAAAAACTAGAGTAAAAAGACTTGGATATGGCACCAAAAAACAAAACCTAATTGGAAGGAAAAACTGTTTAAAATCATATTTCTCCATGTCTTGTAAATTAAATTCCTACAAAATATGAATGTGAAGACTTGTGATAGGTATTTTATGACATCTTGTAGACTAAATAATATATCATAAAAGGATCAATAACTAAAAAATAATCATTAGTTGCAGTAATAGTGGCGTCATATTTAGCCACAATGCTGTTGCACACAAAAAACTTTCTTTATTTCTGTTTAAGCTTGTTTTGTGTGTACATTAAGAGTAATGTAAAACTGCAGACTATTCCACCTGGCAATTAAAGTTGTTACATTTTCAGATGTCTTAGGATAATGTCATCTGTCTGCCATTGTTAGCGAGTTATATGAATGATCTTGTTTACTGTATTCACAAGGTCGTGTCTTACAAGATGATAAAAAGCACAGATACCTTTAGGTCTAAAACCAAATGGAATAGTGTTAATAATAACATACAATATCATATCACATGAACAAACTGGACCTCAGAGAGTGAGAAGTCTCTTGGGTCCTTCTCTGCTCTCTCGCTTTCTTTGTCTTTCCTTTCTATTCAAACTCTCACACTGCCAGATATGAGCTAAAGAAACGTTTTGTCCCTTCTCTAATGAGTCTAAGTCCCTGCTGAGCCAGGAGGGCAACCCACCTGAAATAAACTCATTTGCGTAATTGGAGAGAAGATTTGGGCAGCTATTAAATTGCACCAAAAAGGCAAATAAGTAAATGGGTCCTTGTTTGTTGCACGGTCTCACACAGGCATGTACAAGCAATACAGGAACAAAAAAAAAAAGAATCCATTGTCCTGCATGAGCAACTTGATAAGATTACAGTACTGCGAGCATGTGCTTGTGTAACTCGAATCAGCGTATGTGTGTGTGTTCCCTGTCACCTCCTCGTGCCAGTGGACATATTTGGGTGCAAACAAACTGGTTCTTTGGCTTCATGATGGACACTGTGCATGTAACAGTTGGCCCGAAAAGGGGCAAATCATTTCACGTGTAACATCCGTGGACATTGCCATATACATGTGCACGCGCACAAACACACGCCTGACGGCTGAAAGCAGCTCTGGCCTGTGCTAGCGACACAACTGATGTCAAACTGCAGCTTCAGTGACTTTAAACTTTGAAATACTGGAATGTGTGGGTGTTTTTCTACATGTGCATATGTGATCGGGAACATCTGGCACAGTCTGACAATGTCGTGACAGCATCTTATTAAAGTATTAATGTTTCATCTCTGGCTTACATTTCCCACTGACGTCCCAGCCAAGTCAAACTGATTCAGTCAACACACTGCAATCAGTCAAAAAAATCTTACTTGTGTAACTTGTGCTGAGCTTTAAGAATTGTTTTAACTGGCAGCAGTAATGGCAAAGTGAACTGATTAGAGTAATCTAAACAAACAACAAGCGATTAATCAATACTGAAAATAATAGTCTGCAGCTCTGGTCTGTTTCTAAAATTAAGCCCTCTGTGACTGACATCTATATTGTGCTCACGTGATGCACAATTTAATATAAAAAATGTTTCTTTAGTCAACTCCTTGACAGTTGACAGACCCGCTGTCTAGTGGTATTGCAGCACAGGTTATTACTAAATTAACTTGGGACCAACGAAAAACACAAAACAAAGTTCTCTTAGCTGACCGAGAGTGCAAAAAGGCTTTAAATATTACAGAAACAAGCTAATAACTTACATTTTTTCAGAATGGAGATTGCTGTGACTGCAGCACAGTCGGGTAAAGTTGTGTGAGGATATTTAAATAAATAAATACATTTTTAAAAAGAAGTATTCCAAAAGATATATGCTTGTTTAATAATTGCCACGATAAGATAAAACTACACTTCGCTTTCTATAATGTAAGCAAATCTCAAGCTGTGTGCATCCTACTGTATATGACTGCGTATGTGTTTCTGTCTACCTCTCATCACAGTAGGTGAACTTCATATCCATGCTGTGTCTGCTCAGGAAGGTTTTGCTGTCCAGAGGCGTGTCGATGTTGGACGGGTGTGGGATGGGGTCGCACATCAGGACAGCGCAGGTGAGCGGAGGCTCTTTGAAGCCACACAGGCCTCGCGGAGGGCAGCTGTTGTACATCTTGAGGTGTCCAGTACAATGCAGAACCTGGAGGAGGCAGCAGGAGGAAGAAATGAACTTACAGAGTGTAGAAATAAAGCTGAAGGTCACAGGGTGGGTGGCATCTCGGGTGTTTTGTGCTGTTAGCAGCTGATGTTGACCTGACTTCATGGTCTTGTCATTTTTGTGAAATAACCTCTTCATTGAACGGCTTCGCGTTTTATGTTCTTTGCTACTTACACACCCATTTTTTATCATGTTCTGTTTTTTTTGTAACTTAATCAGGAGCACAAAGAAATTTCAGGATATGAAAGCAGAAAAATATTTCTGTAAATTATTTAGGTCTATTTTCCAGACGTTGGTGTGATCTTTGCATTTTCTACTGGATAATTACACCTCCTCAGGCCTCTAACATTATTAAAATAAATCAGTCTGAGATGGACAAATCACTCCTTGGCTAGCTGTTATGTTCTATGTTGAATATGTATACATATTCAGCCTGTGACAAATTGTGTCACTGCTTCATTGGAGGTGTCACAAGCCAAAACAGATGGAAACCAATGTGCTTTTGTACAGCCAACTAGTGTTGCGTTCATAATTTTGTTCAGTGTAGAAGTAATGTCTGTATAGAATGTATGGGATGTGTTTTATAACCAAAAACATGCACACATTAGATGTGCAGATGTTGCAGATGTATTGGCTTGCAGCTGCAGCAGCTCTCTTACCTTCCAGCTGGCTGACTTGAGGTTGACAGTGCGTCCTCTGTTGGTCACTGTGCATTTCATCCGCATGAAGAAATCTCGCTCAGTACTTAGCTCTTTGCTTTTTTTACCAAAGCCACTGCCTGAAACACATAAAGTCACAGGGCGAAAGTCATTATTACTCCTGCAGAACAGATGTGTTCTGCTGTGCCATAAAGTCATCAGCTCAGGCTGAAGAACACACAACTTTCACTTTTATAACGTTTTATAATGTTGAACCTTTAACTTGGATGCTTTTGTCCTTTGAAATAACAGCATAAAGATTTGTTGACTATGAGAATATTTTGCTTGTCAGTAACTAAGTGTAACTTAAAATTTTTCCAGTACAGTCACATAATTGCTGCTTGTAACGCTAATTTTATATTTCTAATTATATTCCAGTTTCTTTTCTTAGTGGCAAAATGGACCCCAAAAAATTCCTTCCCTTATCTGCCTTACCCTAGTGTGACTGGGAAAGTGGTCAGGATTTAGACTCCACACACACACACACACACACAGGACGTGAAATTAGGCCAAGCTGTTGCATCACAAGGTCAGGGTTCAGCCCCGAACAGCAGCCACAGAGTGAAGTAGTAAAGCGTGTCTTTTGTCAATCTACAAACATTACACTAAAACAAACAATACAAAACAAATCTTCTCTAGTCCTCACAGAGGAAATGGGGTGTGTGTGTTCATGTGTGAAAGTGTGAGGGAAAAGGACTCTTAAAAAAAAAAAATCCTGTATTGTTCCACTTGTGTGTTTTGTGGCCACTGCTGATAAGAGTTATCAACCACAGCATTAGTGTGTGTGTTGGAGAAAGAGTTATAAACCTTACCTCATAAAAACCTAAGTCAGTGACACACATCATTTTCCAGTTTTACACAGTTGAATGTGTACTTCTGTTCATTCTTACTTTTTTTTTTCTTCATCTTGTGTGTGACTTTGTAGTACAACATACAACCCCCCCCCACCCCTTTAAGCGCAGAGCTCTTATAGTCTCTCCCTCGTGTCTGCACACGTACACACCAGCTCCCACACACACTCCTCTACTGTATCTCTCTTTAGGTTCCTCGCTATAGGTTCTCCGACCTTTTGTTCTCATGTTGGTTCTGGACACTTGCTGATGTGATTGATAATATAACACCCTATATTTAAGGTTTTTGTATTCCTTGTGATGGAGGGATGATTTAGGGGCCCCAAAGCTATACGGTACATACGGAGTATGCCAGGCATTATAGATATTTACTGTTCAAGAGAGTCGAGAATTGCAAGCACCTCTCTTGAAGGCTAAAAGGATAGGGGATGCCCGTGGGGTCCACGAATACTGGTCGAGAGCTGACAGTACTGCCATGAAGAATGAAGCCTGTGGATATTTACGGTCCCCAGATATTCATACCTGACCTGGTGTGATGCTAGTGTCTCCAACAGGTCAGCATTTCTAATCAAGATCAGCAAAATCTGTGTTTTGAATCTGGGGTCCAGACCTATTTTTTTGGTTTTACGCTATTTTATATTGTATATTTATTTGAATATATTATTGTCTGTATGTTTCTTTTCTTTTTCTCCAACTGTAGAGTACTTATTTCTACTTACTTTCTCAAATAGAGGATTAAAATTTGACAAAAATGTTGGTCATGTTGCTTGAAAACAAATTCACGCTCCCCAGAGGATCAGCTTGTTCTGTTCTGGACTCTCCGTAAACAGTACAACTCTCAGGCCAACATGCATCTTTCCACGTCATAAACTAATGGGCAGATTGCCATGTGAATTGCTTAGCGCACTTATGCTTCCATGGGACACCAGGTTAATGACCCCATGACCATTGCTCTAGTTATATTTCTAGAAAGAATAAGGCAGATAAGGATAATTGTACTTTTTTATTTTGTCACTGTTCTGTTGTTATTGTTGATGTATTTTAGGACCCCCTTGAAAACGAGATGTTGCATCTCAAAAGGGTTTATCCTAATAAATAAATTTGAACAAAGACTCGCAGTAGTTTTTGAATAAAGACGGGGTTATTTGGCATCAGAATTTAGGATGAAAGTGAGAATGTTTGTGGAAAATTGTAATGAGGTAAAACAAGAATGATCTCCTCATATCTGTGGAATGAGGATAACAGGTGTGTGGGTGAGATTGTGTGCTGACCAGCTGTCTTCAGGCTGAGATTTTCTCTGATCTCGTCATGGTCACATGGATGGGTGAAGTCAAAGATGCTGTGACCAGTAAGGTCCACCTGGATAAATGAAAACAACTTAATGAGATACAGAATATAAAATGAACAAACATAATATAATAACACTTTTACATGAATACCTGTAGATCCTGTTACTGTATTTTCTAGGTTTTACTGGTCTCACAACACTCTGCATCGGGGTTAGACATGCTGTGTTTTTCATGTCTGGCCACAGCAACGGTGGTTTGTTTGGGATAAACGGAAGAAGACGAGCAGAAAGTGTGTGACCGCTAGAATCTCAAATTGCTTCAACACAAAACGAGCAGAAGCTCCTCACCACAGACGCACACAGAAAGAGACCTCGCTCCACAATTTACAGTCAACTTCACCTCTTCGGTGATTTGTTTTTCAAGTTGGTGCCAGAGAATATAAAACTGCAGAGTGTGTTTAGAGTTTAACCTCGGTGTCTGGCCTGAACACACACACTGTTGGAATGAGAGGTATTTCACACAAACACAACAGGCTTGTCTGACTGACAGTTTTCATCCGTGTTTTTGCCTCTGACTGCCTCTCTGTATGCCTGGGTTAATGCCTTTGGTCAGTTAAAATTACAATATACACACTAATATTTTGTATAATAGTAGTCTTTATTTGTAATGCACCTTTCATACATAAAACGACGCTTACCGTGCTTTACATTCACGAGCACTTAAACGAGTTACAAATAAATACAGCAGCAAGCGCGTATGCCACAAGCACAAAACAGGTATTAAAACTGGAAAAGGGTAGCAAACGGCTATAAAATCAAAGACATACATGAATAAAAGTGTGTTTAATCAGTTGAAAACAAATGCATCTTGTCTTGAGCTGCTTCTTAAAACTATAGAGGTAGTGCCTCTGATTTGTAAAGGAAGTCTGTTCCAAGCCATCGGTGCATAAAAACAGAGCGCTGCTTCACCAAACTTATATATTACAATACATGTGTAAATACCTTTATCACAGGAAAAAGGGAGAGGTGTTTGAATTTTGAATCTTAGTTCACAATAAGTAAATCTGCATGCCACAGCTTTCAACTTTAAGTTTGTAGCATGGTATAGCCAAGAAATACTCGTCAAGATAATGTTTACATCAGTTTAAAACTGAAACAGGTGAGCACGGCACATCTTGTCCTGATTGATTTCGACTTATTATTTATTGTGTAATATATTATGTCTGCCTCTATGTTGTGCTGCTGACACTGTGCACATTGAGTGTTTTTACATGCTGTACCCATAACAAATTCCACCGCCTCTGGCAGCGTGGACATTAAAAGTGCAGTGACTCATATTTACAGCCTCGTGTTCATCGCCGTTATTGGAGGGTGCAGTTTAAAATGTATGTGTGTATGCACGTGTCTGTTTTATTCTATTCCTGGACTTTTAATGGTTTTGTACCTGAGTGAGCCCCATGACTTTGTTGATGTTCTCGGACAGGAATATCATGTCGCCGTCAGATGTTACCACGGTGATGAAGCCCTCCAGAGACTTCAGGTACAGACTGTCCATCTGTCTGTCCTCGTCACCGCCGCTGCCGCTGCTACAGCCTGGAGGGAGAGAGAGAAAACAAAGATACACTCACAAATTGTTCCTCTCAAAGCTGAATATAAATGGATATCAGTGTAAACGTGTGTGTATTTTTGTGTTTGTGTGTGCACGCATTGGGCTTGTTTTCCTTCTTGAAGCTTTGGCTCGGAGCCTAAACAAACGAGTGCAGCTTCTTCCTGCGTCTCAGGCCACTCCTGGTCCCCGGCCCTGACGAATTACACCCAAAACTGCACAAGGCAGCTTTTAGAACTTAACTTACACATTATGCAATTATGTTTAAATATGTACTGTGCAGCCTCCACACATATATACACAGAGACTCCAGTGTGGCCAAAATGTATCGTCGCGGAGCTAATTAACACAAAAAACACAGCTAGTGCTTAACTGGCCCCGGCTCAAGAGAGAGTTTGTGTATGTGTGGACGGCGGCTTGATGTTTAACAAAGCCCAGTAGCCGATGGGAGTGGAGGTGTTTGCAATTCCTCCAGTGTGCTTCCCTGAGATAAGAGACCAGTTCTCAAGGCTCCCGGCGCTTGGGGCTTGAGTTTGTAGCCGGGCCCAGATTTCGTTAACCTCTGGGGTAGCCCAAAGCTTTCTCATGGGCCCCGGGGAGCAAGGGAGACTCTTGGGGCCCAGTCCAAAGACCAGCAGCACCTTTGGCCTAAATACTTAGCTGTAATTACCAGTGATTTGAACCGAGTTGCACTTTACTTCTCTCTGTTGTTCTTTGGTTGCATAATCGCCCTCGTTTCAAAATAAAAGGGTGCAGAAAAGAGAGTCTGACAGGGACAGCTGCTGTTCAGATAATCATTTCTTTTATTTTGACATTTGTTCTGTTGTACTGGAGAGTATGAAGTGACAGGGTCATTGTGGGAGATTCATGGTGGAATATCTTTTTTTCTTTTCTTGCTTTCCTTTTCTTCTCCATTTGTGATGACAGATATTCTGGTGGCTGCTGCTGTGTTTCAAACAGAGGACTTGAAAAGACAAACTTTTGTAACGTGTAACAAAACCGTCAGAGGAAGCCCTGTCAACGTCATCTACTCTCTGATCTGTACTACAGTTATTGAATACTCAAATGTCTCAGAATTTCATGACAAAAGGAGATAGAAACATTAAAAAAGAAAAGATTTCAACATGACGAAATAATGTTATGAAACAACCTGAGAGCCACTAAATCTTAACAATGAAAAACTGTCAACTTGGGAACACTAAACTGATAAGTACGCATATTATTGCAACAAAGGTCATTAAATCATATTGATCCTCTTGGATACAACAGAAATTGTCACATTCTTTGAGCCACTCTAACTGCAGTGCATTAAAATAACAAAACTGAGGCACATTGGACTGAAGTCTGAAAACACAAAAAACAAACTTAACAGTCTAAAATTTTGGTGAAGACACCTGTTTGCTTGAATTACCCACGGTGAGATGAGAAGACTGTGTTAGTGTCTTCTACAGAAGTGTATCCAGGATGTGTTTAACCTAGCTTAGCTGAAACCTGTCTTAGCTGTCTTTTTTTGCACATTATATCTTGTTTATTTAATGTGCAGCAATAAGAATGTAAAAGCCAGACGTTGTGGTTTTAAGAGGAGATCGCTGTGCACAGACTGCATGCAGCATTCGGAAGTACAAAGCAATAACTAAAAAAATCCAGGGACCCTGCTTACTAACAACATACAACACTTCCCCTTGCTCTACAGTTGGCTAAACATGCGTTTTTACATTTTTATTTCTACATTAATAATGTAAACAAGACAGCTTTGGTAAAATAAGATAGATGAAGTAAATAAAAGCCAAATAGGTTTGGAAATAAGATGCCCTTGAAGCTTTAGGATAGCAGTTAATCTGGCGTTTTAACCATCTGTGCTATTTCTGTAGTGTCAAGTAAGTGTTAAAAATAATAAAATAATTATTTTATCTAGACCTACAGTATCTAAACTGATTTATTAAACTGATATTGATCTCCTGACACAACTTTGGTCCAATGCTCCCAATAGCTCCCTATAATTTAGAACAGATGTTTCACAATATTTTTGTAAGAAATATGGCCTAATCAGTTTTACCTCCTAATCGGTACATCACTGAGCTTATGCTTCATAAGAAAGGTGTTCCCCACAGCGGCTTGCCTCTGTGCTTTTGGGTGCATATGCAGAATGTTTGCGTGTAGAAGTTCAAGTGTGTGCTTATTTGTGAGTGTGCAGGCCAGCATGATTGGCGCCGAGGCAGTCGGGTGTTATGGCTAGCAGGGTAATGCCAGCACCCGCCGAACGATGGGCAGAGCTGCTCGCTTCCTCTCCAATCTCTCCTTCCATCACAGAGCAATCAGACCGGCCTGATAACGTGATCTGCTGCTGCATCTCGCGGATCTCCCTGTCCTCTCCTCCGCTCTCACTCTCTGCTTTCCTACCCTCATTACCTCTACTCCTCCTCTCCTTATGCAATCTCTCCCTCCATCTCGTTTGCCGCCTTCTTTACTCCTGCTCACCTCGTCCCCATTGACCTCTTCCTCTCCTCCTTCCTAATGTGTCTTCCCCACCTCCATCCCTCCCTCCTTCTTCTTCCTTATCTCTTCTGGCCTCCTCCCCCCTACAACCTCCTGTGTTTGTGAGAGTGTGTCTGATAACTGTACCAGAATATAAAATACCAGTTCCATCCCAATTTACAAAAACAGTTCACAGCGTGGTTTGTTGATTATTTTGACTAATTGGTTCCGGAAAGGTTTCCCGAAATGTAAATTTTTCAGTTCAAGTTTAATTTACCTTCCTTGGCGACAGCTGAAGTTCCAGAGGCAGATATCTCATAATCTTGGAACATGAAACTGAAACTATCTGCTTAACTAGATATCACTCGAAGTAAGCAAGAAAACATGTTTCTTTGGGGAGGGAATTTGGGAGCACCAGCCCTCTAACTCAACGCAAAACATTGTATCTGAAAAACTTAACTGTTATGCAAACTACTTACAATTGATAGTTTAAGCAAAACATGTTTACTTTTCAATTTAAACTTTATAAATCACAAAAAGATTTAGAATAGAAAGAAATTTATGTTTTCCTTTATGTTGCCTAATCAGGAGGTCTCATTTCATACACAGTAACTTATGAATTCGTATATATGACTTACTAAATTTAAGATGTTGCATGATGATGTCAACTTTTAACTGTAAAGCTTTTACTGGATGAAAGTTTTTTTATAAAGCAAGGAGTTATTGATAGTGACTGATTCATTCTCTGACTGATGACACCCTACAAAGAAAAAGGAAATAGCGCTCACTTAAGGAAGCGTCGGTTGTATGCCTCACCGTTTCCCTAGCAAACAACGCAAAGCAGTTTATAAAAAGACAAAAAGTAGGCCATCAAAAGTTAGATAAGAAGATAATAATAGAAGATTAAAATACCAGATGGTAGTGTAAAGCTTTACGGATACAGTTTCTCATTAATCTAAATATTTTCCTATTCCACCGGCAGATTGTTTTTACAGTCGCTTGTTTAATGGCCAATTATTGTTCCTTGCCACAGAACCAGATTATAAATTACAAATCATGATCAAATCATTTTCCAAATCAAAAACATAATTACAGGAAAGCTTGTGTGACATAATAGATCAGAAATTCAGTTTTTCTCCACATCATGAAGCAGTCATAAAAAAAGGCTAAAAAGCACAAAGAGCTGTAGAGTTAGATGTGAATCCATTTAATTCAATGGTAATATTCAATAATTATAATAATCAATAAATATTGCTTATTGCAGGTTTAAGTATGTGCTGATAAAGTATAGCACAGATTTGACTTAATGAACCATGAGGAAGTTTAATGGTGTTCAGGTGTTGAGGGATTAAGTGCTTCACTTCACTACCTGTGTAAACTGAATGCACAGACTGTTTCACAACTCTGTTAAGGAAACAGAAACTTTTCCCCCCCACTGAAGCTTCTAAAGTCGTTTAATTTTATTGTTCTCTGATCTTATTTCGACACACAGACGCAGTGGAGGATTTCCAGAACAATAGGTCTGCTCCTTTGTCGAGCTTCCTCGGCTTCTAATTTTAAATGAGACAAGAGGAAGGGAAGAAGTGCAAAGAAAGGGCCCAACAAATACTTTCCTACTTTACTGGACAATTAGTCATACATACCAACACACATCAACACAAACATACACACGCAAATCTGACGTGATAGTATATAAAATAACTTGGAGGCGGCCATCCACTATTTGCATATGTTGCACATGCAGCTTGCATGTGATTATATGTGTATGCATGTGTGTGTGGTGAAGTGTCCATACCTGTGGCGAGCAGCTTGCGTGTGCGCAGGAAGCTGATAGCCAGCCTCATGATGAGGCCTTGTCCAGGTGAGAGCTGACACTGTGGGGTAAAGGCAGCTGGTGAGCAAGGTCATAGAAAACCTCAGTCTCTTTGCTGCGCCGGCAGCGGGCTGCGTCCCGAGACTTCTCCTTACGCCGCTCTGAACTGCTCCTGCACAAAAACATATTACAAATTTGGCCCACTGTTGGTTAATTTGTACAGTAGTTAGATTTACATGACACACTGCACCAATAATTCCTGTATATCTGCCCTCATTGTCCGGGGTACTTCCTGTTCCACACTGTACAAACTGCTGCTGGCAAACTACAGCGTACAGAGCCCAGTATCATAAATCCCCAAATGATTTGACAAGCACCAAATGTGATTGTTCCCAGTTTCACAGTTAGTTTCACTGAGGTTCATTCATAGGTTAAAACACAACATGCTTTTCAGAATAAATACAGGGAAGTGCTGTGTTCTCTAAAGTTATTTGGTAGCCTCCAAGTCACACTGCCGCTGTTTGCCAATAATTAAGCAACACTTTAGCAGATTAACTAACTTCCGGCCTACGTTGCTGAAAAATACCACCTTAAGAAAACATACATATTCCCAGCAACACATCTAAACATATCTGAGCCTGTTTGACAACATATATATATATTCATTTTACATTCTCAAGCTAAGATTGATTATTGCAGCACTACAACAAATGCAGTATGTCATTGTGTATTTTTTGTACCTGAAAACCAAGTGAATTTGTTTTTTTTGGATAAATAAGTTAAATTTGAAAATTAAAATGAAGATGTACATACAGACAGAACCATTTTTTAAAATTTCACATCTTTTCAAGGCATATGAACTGTACATCCTCTTACCTAAACGTCAAAAAAAACAACATCACCGTTGGAAAGTACCAGTCCAGACACCTCATACCTAAAGCACGACGTGAGCCTCCAGCTAATCCCCAAAAGACAAAGTAAAGACAAAGAAAATATGCAAAGAATATGGTTCTTTGTTCGTGCCTGCTTAGCATGGATTTATTATTAGAACTCCTAACTCTCTTATTGTGTACATCTATGCTGCTTACTATGACAAAACACAATGGGACTGTCGACTGTTAACACGGCGAGCTAATACCTCCGACATAGTACAGCTAATATGAAGCTTCCTGTTAATAGTGTGGAAACATGCATATCAATTTGTACCAATGAAGATCTGCGTTTAAAAATGTTTCCAGGCCTTCATGACACGGTGACAGCGTGACATTTATGTAGTGCTAATGGAAGAAATTTGCTATATTTAAAAATTTTCACGTCAACTGTATATTTTAATTGCTTAAAATAGGGCTGACCCCGAATAGTCAATATTCGATGCTTCGATGGGCGGAGCCTGATTCGACTGTCAATCTCACAGTCGAAGCTTCGCAGCGATACAAGGATCATGTCATTTTGGCGATATGGGGGTGCTCAACCAGGTTTCTCCCAATAAGTTAATGTACTGCCTATTACAATATACATTTCAACATATAACGATGTAAATAAAAAAATGAGAAAAGAAAAAAAGCTTTTCATAAATGTTTTTAAAGTGCGTTAATGAATCCAGAATTGTAACCCAACCCTCAAGGTAGGGGGCATCAGTGCGCATGTGTGCGTCAGTGTGTAGTGGCAGAAGAGGAACTTGCTGTAGAGACGGAGCCTTAACTTCCCCGTTGCTGTGCAGAGTTGTCCGCACCTCGCGGGACATTCGGATCATTTTTCACCATTGATGAACCACACAAAGAATATTACGTCGTTTTTAAATAGTACTTGAAATAGACCCGTGAGGAACCACGACGTGCAGAGCCGCACGGCATGCATGCAAAACTCTGCACAAGACCGGTGAATGGCAGGCGAGCGAGCACAGAGAAAAGTGTCAACAATAAGACTCAGTTTAGCTGGAAAAGTTACAGTGACTAATGAATAGAGACTACAGCTCTGCAGCTTGTCAAGATTAAAGCAGAGCTACCGTGTGTTACACCCCTCGCTCACTATCGCCGCACACAAACATATGTAAATCCTTAGTTGGGGACGGCCCTAGATACTTTCCCAGATCCTTTGCAAGTTTTCTGTATTGTTGTTTGTACTGTAGTGCATTTGAATTTTTAATAAAAGGGTTTTTTCTTTGTTTTTTTTACAAATTGAGCAAGAATAAGTACGCGCATGTGCATAACAGATCGGGCAGTCAGCATGGATCAGGTACAAACAGCCACTCATAACAGACTCTACCGCAAGGGGGCTTGAGGGGGCGCAGCTTGAGGTGCTACAGGCTGTGGCTGGATCTTATTGGAGATCAAATAGGCATGTTATGTAAGTCACATTAAATAACGTTATTTAACTTAAAACTTTAAATAAGTCAATGTTGACTTGGTTTCAAACAGGACTTGAATCTCAGATGGAATAAACACAAAAACCAAACAAGTCAGAACAGGTGAGTTCACGGACGGCTGTGTCTGTCTGAAGCAGGGAATCTCCCCGTCAGCGATGCAGGAGGAAAACAGGTCAAGCGTGGGAAACAATTTTTGGTTAGGCTGGTTTACGTAATCTATTGTCCCTGTGTGATGGAAATAAACATTTTTAAACAGAGCAGACGGACTAGAAATGAAGACAGCAGGAAAACTAGTGAGACATTATGGAGTTAAGAGATGAAATGCTTCTTAAGATTTACCAGCAATTCCCTCACTTCCTGTCTGAAGACCCATGAAGTTAATGACCATGACACTCAAACATACTGTGTACTGTACGTACGCACTATATTAATCTTTTTTTTTTTTTTTTTTATGTGTCCAACACAAATTTCCTTCATGAAATTGAAATCAGTTTCTCTCTGTTTTAGCTCTAATACATGTGATTCAGCAGACATAGACCACTGTCATCATCATGGCACTGCTGTGTCCAGTTTTGTGTATTTGTTTGTTTAAAATGTTTATTTTGATTTGGATTGAGCAAGCCCTGTTGAGCAAAATTTAATTTTGAACTTTGCAAACAGAAAAGGATGCTACGTGTTTGGAGCCCAGCCATGAGGGTTGCAGAAGCTCCATGCGAGAGTAATGGGTTTTTAATAAATGACAATTTGCCTTTAAAAAGACACCTTGAAGTGAATAACCGCTTAAAGATGTGGAGTCAGGTGATTATTTTCATTTCCTCAGGTTAATTCAGTTGTTGTTTAAAGAAAGAGCTTTTGGCCAAAACAATAAAGTCTCAAAATAAAAACATTTATTCCAACAATCAAACTGCAATCCCAATTTTCTCGTCTCGGGGCTCAGCCAATAGCAAAATGCTGTCTACAAACACCACATGAGACCTGCAGAATGACATCATGTCAGCAAGCCGACCTCTGGGTGATTTTTCAAGGATACGGTTTAAGTTTCTGGCTCTATGCTCTGAAATGAAATTAGTCAGATTTTGATGTCAAAGCTCAAATAGATCGACGGTCCAGAGGTTCAGTCTGTGGTCCAAGAGAGCAGCACAACAAACCATATTAGGACATCACACATGGAGTTTGGCTTTATCTGGGTTCTGTCTTGTGCTCACATTTATACTTTTAAAACTCGTTCAGCCTCTGTATGCTGTCTGCACCGCATATGTCTGGTGAAGTTGTGCAAAACAAGGTTCAGACTTATATGAAAGGATTGCAAAGCGAGCAGCAGCAGGATGTAGAATCACCACAAGCAGCAAACTGTGTAGCTGGAAATGCCTGAACTGCCTCAAGCTTGCAGGCATGGCAGCACCACTATGTGATCCACCACTAATACATGCATGCATGTATGTAGGGATGGACAGTAACCAATACAAATATCCTGTACATTACAGTATAATTACAATTTTCAATCACACACACCAGTGCTGCAAACAGCAACATGCTATAAATACATATTAATACAGCAAATAAGGAGAAATCAACAGTCACAGCCAATATAACTGGTGGTAGAATTATTACCACCAGTTGTGATTTTCCTCTAATCTAATCTAAATTCTGACCTCCATGTATCTTTGCAACTTTGGAGCTGGAGAATAAAAGCAACAGTGCTACACATTTACCAACTCCAAAGAGGTAAAATCATTCAAGTATCAGAAAAATCTGCTATGGGGTATTCACATGACATGAACAAACCAAGGACGTGTTAACAGAGTGACAGTTTGCTGTTAGGAGTCACTGCAGGCCTCACAAAGACTACACGAGGAGGATCAGAGAGTTTGCATGCCGCATTTAAATGAATGCCATATATCACAGACCCACAGTGAGAAGTCCGTTTGAATATGAGCCAGTGTGCGCTTTATTAATTCAGTCTGACAATACGCTTCGTCACTGCCAACATTAACACCCCCCTCCACACACACACACCTAATTTCTTCCTGGAGTTTTGGTCCCAGATGGAGTCACAGAGGCCATGTTCAATGAGCCTTACGCGGCAAAAATTTCCTCTTATCAAGTCATTTATGTTCATAATTGAGTCTTTATTTGTCTTGTAGCCGTCTTAACGCTGCTGTACTGTCAGCTCTTAAATCCACCCATAACAAATTTAGCTTGCGGAGCAAAAGCTTGCTCACAAGACATTCTGACAGCGAAACCAAATCACGCCGCAGATCAAAAACAGGTGAAAATCATCTGCTTCACATCAACAACATCGGCGTTGGTTTCCCCTCGGGCTACGATCTACACCCGACAGAAACGCAGAGAAAGGAACTACACAATCAAACATCACATTTATAAAAAGGACAGCATTGCATACAATTAACAAGAAAAGCAGGGCACAGAAGCACCATTATCTCATCGAGTGTATTATCTGATCCTCTCTCTGAGACTTAAACTCATTAACCCGGAGTCAAAATCACCAAACCCTCATTACTGATGGGCCAGCAGACAGCAGAGCAGACAGCCACCGACTTCTCCCACTCTGTCAAGTCAACTGGAACAGCTAACTTCAGCTAGCTCCTGGATATGTCTGTGTGTGTGTGTGTGTGTGTGTGTGTGTGTGTGTGTGTGTTTGTAGTGCCACTCTTTGATTGTCTGGGGCCATTGTTGCTGCAGGTCCCAGCAGACCGTTTCAGGATACAAAACAATGGGCGTCACAGCGCTTCATCAGGGCACCAAGCCTTCTGATGTACTCACTGACCCCCCCCTCTCATGTTCAT